TACCCAGAATTTATTCAATTTTTAATGAATTGTACTTCCGGGCAATATAAGAATATTGACTTAAAAAAAGTGGGGGTCACCAGGTTAATTTTTGAGAAAATCAAGGTTGTATTTTAGTGGATAGCGGCGATTTTGGCAGTATTATAGTGCTTTTACCATAGGTTATGGAAGAGATATTATGCCATATCTCAAATTGTAGGCTGGTGACATAGGCTGAAAAAATAATATATTGTTAATGATGGGTACTTTTTGTTTTCCTGAATTTTTTGAAAAAATCTGGGTTTTAAAAACTGTTGAAAAATGAATTTTTGTTTAACATTGCGCTCTATGGAATTGTTCTAAAAATAGCTATTTTTGAAAAATATTAGGAAAAGTTTCTTCAAATACGTCACTGTAACACACAAAAGAATGCTATTTGATGGTGCCATGGTACAATAGATCCATGATTTTACATAATAAACCAATAAACATTGACATGCGATTTATGACCAACTTTCTCAAAAATATATATATGTTTATGTCAGCAAGAAATGTTTGTTTTACTGGTAGATGACTACTTTGCTCCACTATCTGTTTTGGGACATTTGAGTGATATGCTAGTAATAGAGCAAATAAAGTATGGATAATTTACATTACCTGCTTTGTAACTGGATTGCAACTGATTAGGTGATTATGTCCAAAATTTGGATTTATTGTTCCTTCAATTTCTTTGGTTTGGTTAGTTTGCTCATCTAGGTAAAACTTATACCTGCAAAAACTCTGTGAAAAGAGTAATCAGATTATAGTGTTTTGGCACTCATTTTGGTGAAAAAAAGGCATTATTTTTTTTTCAAAAAGCGATTTCAATTTTCGAGAAGTCGTGTTGAAAGAACAGTTTACACTTTTTATGATGATAACAGCTCATTGTTAAATGCAATTTTAGCCACAACAAACACTGCATTCTTGAAATAGTGCCAGTTCATATGAACAGATGTAAAGTAAGTTGCACTCCAATTTAGGCACTTAAAATGATTCGATATTGACACCTGCATTTGGAATATACTCAAAACAACATGCTAATGACATCCTACATGTCAATCAGCTGTACACAGAACAAGTGATATCAATTATGCTATATATTTCATACTTGCCTTGTTAAATTGAACAGGTAAGCCTCTTGCATTGAGAATCTTTAAACGAAAGTACATAGATTTCCCTTCCTGATGCGGTGAGAAGACATAAGAAAATACATTAGGTGATATAAAAGCAAATTGAAAATAATATATTAAAAAGGAAGTCAAGTCCAACAACATGATACTCATAGATGAAAGAGCTCCACTAATGCAGTGGGATAAAATTTACAGCTTTTCTATATTTATTTCTATATTTTACAAATACTCAACTTTTCAATTAGTATACGTTGTCCACCAATTAATTAGGAAAATAATTTCATCCACAACTATATTAATCCTGAAATTTGTTCACATTGTCAGTGTGAATATTACTTATAATAATAATAATAATGAAAATTAGAATGATGCAAAAACACAACAAGTAAAGACATTGCCAAAAAGGTAAAAGAGATAAAAATAGTTATTTTGATTGTTGAAAATGAATATTTTCAGTTCTGTTGCTATGACAACCATTTCATATGTAAGGTTGGCACCTGTATGCTACCATGTTCTAAACATTCAATCAATTTGAAGTCCTACTTTAAGTTAGAGATGAATTCATTTCCTTGAAAATGACACAGTCCCCGTTAAATTTTTAAAAGTTCTCTTTGTGCTCGTCATATTATAAAGTGGAGGGGTTGTCGCGAGCATGTCCTTGAAACTTGAGTTCCAAGTGGCATATACAACAGATTGTTTATTTACATCAAAACACATGTTCCGTGTAGTAGTAATATGGTCAAAAATAAAAACAGCCGTTATTCGGCCATCTTTGATCTGATTATGAAACACACTGATATGTATGATGTATGTGCCAAATACGAATGAAAATGGTACATAAATAGTAGAAATATAGTAGTAAGGCCAAAAAGTCAGATGTCTGTCAATCGGCCATCCTTGACCAGATTTTACACAAAGTGTCATGGACATGCATCCTAACATGTATAAAGTACATGTATGTGCCAAATTTGAATGAAAACTGACAGAGCACGTCCAAAATACAACATTTTCAAAAAACAAGATGGCTGCCAGTCGGCCATTTTGAATCAAATTGCTAAACCACTGCATGTGCATATGTCCCACATAAAGTACTAGGCACATGCAAAGAATGAACGGAATCGGTCCAAGGGATTCTGAGATATGACTCTGGACGGACGCACGGACGGAGACCGAATTATAAGTCCCAGTTTTCGGACTTCGTCCAAACGGGACTAATTATTCACAACACAAGCTATGATGTCATACTTTACCCATAATCCTTTGTTGGGAAATCTTGATGGTGGACTACATATATACTAATGAAAATTTGAATATATAGAAAATGAAAAGTGATATGAAAAACTGTGAATTGCATTCTTCTATATTGGTAGGGCTCTTTCATGGGAGAGTGTTACCGGTATGTTGTTAACCTAGATTTACTTAAAATACTTTAGCCGTCCAAAGTTACAGCTACTCAAATATCACTTTGAAAAGTTTGCACCCATCCTGGGAACAGTTTAACAATGCAGGCAATGCATTGACCAAAACAGCAACATACTGCATGTGAAAATGTAATTTACTTCATAATTCATTGATGAAAATAATACAAAGAGAAACTCCAGTTTTATTATGACTGATTATTATCCCTGCACTTTTTACAACCTTAGCAAGGCTGTGTACCGGTAATCATGTTCATACTCACCAACTCTGATGGCTCCTCTACAAATGCATCTTCACTTTCGTCAAACTCTGATCCGTTAGAGCGACAGGGAACTCCCTCTACACTCAGATGTCCCCTCTCCAATCCTTTATAGTCAGTGATAGATAAGGTTTCCTCTAATTCAATCATATATCCCAAACTTTGTAAATATAAATGCACATAGCCAATAAGGGCTTCAGTCTCTGGTGGTTCCCAGAAGGGATCTTTTTCCTGGGACATTAAAAATATAAATAAATATATATATAATACAATAATAATAAAAAGATGATATATGTGAATGTAAAATTTTAGAGGGTGAGATACATATTATCAGAGAATGTAAATTTTATACACAAGATGGCAGATACTATATGTTATATTTTAACAAACTAATGCATTTACCAATATTCTAAAAACTTATTTATTATATGCTGAAAACAAAGGATAGAGATCAACTTTTAGTTTGTAAAAAAGTGATGCTATGTGTTGTGTGCAAATGAACTTTGTCCTGATTGGCTAAAAGGGAAATCTTAAAATCAAATACACAACACGAAAATAAAGTATAGCAGGCCCCTTAGTTACTTGATAAAAAAAAGGTCATTAAGTGTATTTAAAAACTAGTACCTGTGTAACCACAAGTACATGTACACAATACTACAGGTAATTAGATATATTCAGAAAGCTGTAGAAATTAAGAAAGAAAGAATGAGAAATGTCCACCATTTTTGGCCTTTCCCTTTTTTAAGCATTTATTGATGCTATTGATATAGAAATATACAGAAATATACAGCAAAACCAATTAATTTCACTGGCATTTAATTTCACTAATTAGTAGTTTTGAGAAAAACTTGGTTTTATTTAAGTTCATGATCATGGCATGGAAACAATTACTTCTATTGTAATACGACATGTTCACATAGATTTAATTATTAGCAAATATTACTCATCGGTGAAAATAACGAAATTGAAAACCAGTGTTTACAGTATTTGATAGGCACAAACAAAATTAGAGCACTTTAAAATGCTTGCAAAGCGCTCAAGTTCATTTCTGGCGAGATTTGTATCACATACCACCCACCATACAACATGGTTATGATAGCTACCCACCATTATCTTATAAACCCTTTATAAAATCAAAGAAAGCTTAGAAAGAACTCCCATGTGCTGAGAGAGTATTGGAGACACATTAAATATAATTCGAAATTACTTAGCTGAAAACTAATTATGCAAATCAGAAAATTAATATGAACAGATTTGAGTGTAAAACTAATGAGGTCTGCGCAATGTAACAGAAAATCTATGTTTCCAAGTTTAATTGAAATGTGATTAGAACCAAAAAATTATGAATTATTATGCTTATTAGGGAATTAATATGAACAGATTTTTACCCCAAACTAATTAGGTTTGTACATTGTCCTAGAGCATCTTTGTACTAAGTTTCATTGAAATGGAATAAAACAATGTAGGCACATTTTATAGCTTTCTATTTTATGTTTTATGATGCGGTTGAATAGGAGAAAAATGTTAAACTAAGTAGAATTTCAATACAATTTCAATCACCAATGGGCATTAATTGTCTACAAATTAGATAAAAGTTCTATAATACACAATTCTTACTAGTACAATTATTGTATAATTACCTTTTCTACATCCCAGTCACTGTCTCCTTCCATATAGTTCTGGTACATTTCTTGCATCATATACTTCCTATTCAAAAACTTGTTTCTTTGCCACATAAATTCTGTCCCATTCTCTAGATTTCGTATCACCACATTAACCTAATGAAATATAACTTCTGTTACATCATACTCTACACCCAACGTGCAGAGAAAAATAACATGCCAGTAAACAGCAATGCTTTCCAAATATTCACAACGTTTCCCTGTTACCATGAAATCTTAGGCAGTGAGTCTCTCGTTTTTTGGTGCTGTGGATGGCATTGTGAATTAGGTAACAAATGTATTCACATAGTTTACTTACCTCTGTTCTGCCATGTTTCAATCCTTTAACTGCGGGTGCAACAATAGCAATTTCAAAACGCACTTTCTTATCTAATTCTTCACTCATGGCGTTTGCTTCACTAACCAAAGGCATCATCTCAATTAGGTCTTCTTGGACAAGTAAATCCTCTGTGCAGGGAGAAGAGATATTACACTCAACTTTACTTTTTTTCACCCCCTCCCCACTATCACTCCCAAATTTGATCAAAATCCATTCTGAAGTTCTTGCATGCACAGGATGAATTAATATGCAAATTAGCTACCTAATATGCACAGATATACCCCGAAAAACTGCACTTTACTCCAAAGTGCCAAATTTGACCAAAATCCACTCAGAAGTTTTTAACTTTCACATCCACACACACACACTCCCCTGTGTGCTTCCCACATACAGAAGCTATTACACAATGTATCATTTTCATATTGAACATGCCTTTTGTTTGGCCAGGACCTTTCTGCATATTAAACCCTGAATTCTCGGCTATCTCTGTCTGTGCCTGATCATATGTCACTTTTTCTTCTTTCTTTCCTGCTTTCATATTCTTGGCCAAATCTTGAGGATGATGTAACACATAGAGATGATTGGAACCAAACATTACCCTGAAAATTAATAAAATAGATATCAAACTAATTTGTCCTAATTTGCCAAATTAAATCGAAAAAAGATTAGAAGGAACTGTGTGCAGGCAACTATTGAAAACATAGAATAAATAAATACACATGTAAAAGTTGAATACTGTAAAATGACTGGGTTTAAATTTTGCTGATTTACCATTTCAGGCATATTTAGTGGGTATTAAATTCAAAGTTTTATCATTTAGATAATGTGTTATTTTACATATTCACTGGGTTTTAATTTAGCGCATTTTCCAGTCAGCGAAATAAGCAAAATTAAAACCCAGTGAATAATTAATCCTTTTACAGTATTAGCTTATTTATAGCAATCCATTCCACAGTATCAAAAAATGTATACAATCAAACAGGAATAAATTCGATTGGATAAATATAGAGAAGGCGAAAATTGTTTTTTTATTATGCATTAATTTCAACACAAAATCCATCAGTTCTGTGGATAATCCCTCTGTAATTGAAATCTGTTCATTGGTTGTTGTGATATCAGAGAAACAACTGAAAATTCACAAATTATGCAAACGGGAAAAATAATATGCACGGATTCTACTAAACCTAACCAGAATATCAGGATATTAGTGGAACAGACACACACACAGATTCTATTAATGATAGAAAATCTTCATATATTGACATGTATTAAATACATGTATGGTTTCTAAATGCACCATGTGTACCATGCTCAAACTTGAACTCTGCACTTAAAAACAGGATAAATTAGATTAAACTGGGCATTATTGTTGAATTCCATCCACTGTAATTCCCCTGTCAGTGAACATACCTGTCATTGTGATGGAGTTCCTTCTCTTCTTGTAATTCTTTACCATTGACCAGCACCTTTGCTTTCCCAACTTGTTTAATTTTCACAACATTTTTCTTGTTCCTTTTCACAACAGCGTGTTCTTTCAGGATGCTAATAACAAAATAAAAAAAACACCATAAACTCTGAGCAATATATACGCCGTATTTGCCTTATGAACATTGTCTGGTGAAAGCCACCACAGATTGCCAAAATGCATGGGAAAATATTATGTGTTAAGACTGTAACAAGCATCATGATTTTTTCCAGAAAGTTCCAATTTTCATCAATTTTGTACTCTAACTGAACATAATGCCAGACTAGTCAAATTGAAATTCAAGAATTTTTGTTCATGCATTAAGCAACTTGTAACATATTGGTATCAAATTATTTATTCATTCATTGATTGATATTTTTGCCAGTGATTATGACCAACATACACTTGTTAAAGGACAACAAAATATTGTAAACCTTATAGTTCCTGTTTTTGAAGTTACCAAAGATATCAACGCATACATTTACAACAAAAATTGACTAGAAGCTTTTATTTCAGGATGTGATTCAGTTAATTTTATAAAAGGCAAAATAGACATATATATATAGATATATAGAGAGGATGAAAACAAGAAAATTCTGATTTTCAGTAGAGTGATATTCTTTCAATGAGTCCCTGAGTGTCTTGTATAACACCTTACCTAAGACCAGCTAGCAATATTTCAGGTGCTGGATCTGCATTTTTGTTGCCAATATGTGACTTTCCTGTTAAAAGCAATTCATCATAACATTAGTATTGTTGTTGATGAGGTACAGGAAACAGTGAAAGAAACCTTTCAAAATAAATAACTATTTTAACTGTTTATCTTGGTTCAGATGATGTAAACACACTGTCTACTACAGTGTCACAAAATGTAAATAACATTAAATAGAAATTTGGTTTTCAAAAGAACAAATGAAAGTCATCGCAGTTTTAAAGTTGTTAACAGCATATATGATAATATTAGGTTATTACGAGAATACCGTAAAGTATGCACGAAGACAGTACAGCTTGAGTATCGACCAATGCGCAGCGGAGATCATGCGCTGCGTACTGTCTGAGTGCATACTTTGAGGTATTCTTGTAATAACCTTATTATTATACATCTGTTTCTTCCAAGGATACACCATGGGAATGCTGAAATCCAAAATGTTTAGAACAGAATCAGCGAACTTCTTTGTGTGGAGTCCGGTCAAACCCTGGTGGTAGCCATGTTTGTTTTTATTATTAGAGGACGCTTACGCACATAATCATTCCATATTTGGAATTCACATTTCCTATTATACCGGTAGTAGGATGAAAATATCTCATAAAATACCCAAAATTATGGCACACTGTAACTTATGGTGTTACAGTGACAGATGAATAATAATATAATGGATGTAGCACATATTTATTCTTACATTAATTTGCATAAGTGGTTTTACGAGGTGCGCCCTCTGTGGCAGGATGAAAACACTCAGGGGGTGGCTAAGATGGCGGAGTAGCTAGCGAGGACTGATGGTGAGTGATCTGTCGTGCTGGTTTTGTTATAGCGTTCTGTGACATAGGCAAAAATGTTATACTATTATAAAGTGTAATGTAAGCTTGCTCACCAACATGGTGTAGTGTATGGAGTGAGGGGAAACAAGTACAGCTCAAATTACTACATCACACCAAGTAAATAAAAATGTTCTAAAAATGTTCATTGTAGAAAAAAGTGTAAATTACTCTCTAGCTCAAATCAATTATAAATGTGATTCTTACCATCGTGGATAAAATGTACCACCATGCCAGTCAGTGCAGGATCTTCATTCAAATTCCAGAAATGGGGAACTACTTTCATTTGTTCCTGTTTTTTCTGTTCCAAAACTAGTTTTTCCTATGAAGGTAATGATTCAAGAGTGATTAGTAGACTTAAAACATCATTTACAATTTAAGTACAATTCTTCAACAAATTATCGTAAAAGCATCTCACCATATTAGCAGCTTCTGCTTCAGAAAATCTCTGTTGCCATGATTTTTCCATTTCATCCATTTCAGATTTATTTCGATGAATTTGTTCCTCAAGTGCTTTTTTCATTTCTTCCACCTCTATAAATAAAAAAAAATTGTAACACTGCTAATTTTTGCACAGAAAGTTTATAGTAATTTTCTCAAAATTCACTCCTAATCTTGTGTGTTATTATTTCTGACACATCCAATGAAAACAAGAGAAACTGCTTCAAAGTGAAATAAGTAATCTAAAATGTGTTTGAAGAAAAGGAAATTTATTCAGTGTAATTGACAGAGTTTGACAAAAAGCTATTCACGCCACAAACACTTCAAATTACAGCTTAAGGGACACTCACCGTGTCCCACCAAAGCTGCAGTACATAAAGGGGAACCGCTCAATCCCATGGATTGCACCAAAGAATCATGGGACACTATTGTTTATGTTGTTTACAATGTTAATCTATCTTTTGTTATCCATTGTTATTTTAATCCAGAAAGTAAATTTGTTGTGAAATTAATCTTAACTGCAAGGTGCCCCTATAAGAAAAACAGAAAATATAACACTCTGGTCATGGTGACACGGTGAGCACCCAGACTTGAAACAGTAGAATAAACACAAAGAGAAATAAATAACTGAAATAACAGCATGTAAAAAACAACATATACTGTAGAATACTTTATTTTAGCTGGAATTAATTGTCGCTGAAAACACTTTTTAAGTGTTTTGTATGGAATTTATTCTCACTGATTTGAATGTAAAACATAGGAAAAAATGTATAATCGCTGGATTTCATTTTCACTGAATCATCCCTTCAGCGAAAATAGCGAAAATTAATTCCAAGTGAAAATAAAGTATTGTACAGTAGCTCAAAAAATACTATACTAGCCCTCAAATGATATTGTTAGAATTAGTAAATGTCGGTAGAAGCAGCATTACTGCAATCAAAGCATAAGTCTCACCGTGTTCAGGAATGCCTTTGATATTACTGCCCATAGCACCACCACCACCAGTCTGTAATTGCTGTAATAATCTAGCATTTTCTTCTCTGAGTTCACGGATTAGCTTTTCAGTTGGGCTTTCATTTATAATAGCTTTAGTTCTAATTGATTTTGCTCTATCGGCTGTAATAACAATGAATGTTTATTATTAATACATCACAGACACAAAGTGGTGCTGTAAAACTAACTAAATAATTGTTCCATGGTTGGTACATTATTAAGCATGAACCAGCGACAGAAAGGGGAGTCAATTTTAGGAGTTTTCAGCGTCAGTTATTTTCATAAATACACATTTTTGAGTTTTGTTTGAGTCAGAGATATCGTACAATGTAAGTATAAATACCAAGTTACAAAATATAATATGTCCTTTATTATTATTCATTATGTGAAAACCAAGTTATTGTCAGTTTCTGTTTGTAATTATATGAGATATATATGACCCAATGTGTAGTTTAAACAGGCATGTATGAGATTTTTCTTTTAAACGAGATGACCAACAAGTCAGGCAACTAACTAATCTAAGTAATTGTTGGACTATACAATAATAACAAGCTGAATATGTAAAAACATTTTTCTTTTTTTTAATAGATACACATGTGTGTAAAATATTTATTTTATGCCTTTACCATACAATATCTTTAGTAAACAAAGTTCTTATAAAATAGTATTGTTAGAATATTACATATTCCTACCTTCCTTTTATATACACATGCACAAAAATGAATAATTCAATTGATTAAACTCGCTTGTTGCTTTTGTTTAAATAGGTATTAGAATATCATAATTGAATGAGCTTATCTTTACCATAACGCAGAGTTGAGAGGGTTTCTTCATAGTTGTCATCAGCAGGACTTATAGCAGCTATCTACAAAGACAACGATAGATTGAAATGTGGTTTATTATTGCAAATAATAAAGAATATACTTTGAGTAGAAAAAGTTCATCAAAAATAAAAGACATCTGATGAGGGCGGGTTAAAAGTGTGTTTCATGTAGGAGGCGTAACTTTAGTTATGGGGAATAAACAGGTCGAAGGCGAGTTTCTTTCAGGTGGTGAAACTTTTGTTATGAGAGAGGTCAAAAGTATGTTTTGTGTATGTGGCAAAGCTCTTGGTAGGTATTACAGTTTAGTACATAAACCTTTTCACCACCAGTTCCTTCTTTTCATCACAAATTCACAAACTAGTCCTGTATATAGTCTGCACTTTCTATCAGAAAATTGCAACAAAATAGCCAAATTTTTTGAGTAAAAACTAAAAATTTAGTAACATTTTGTCTGTTGGCCCCAAAATTATGGTTCATTTCCAGAAATTTTAAAGAATATAAAAAAAAATGTTGACAAATTTGGGCAAAAAAGTCTGGTGGTGAAAAAGTTCAACATTTCAACTATTTGATCATGCAGTAAAAATGTTATTTGTGTTTAGATCTTATAGATGTGTGATTACATCGGCTTTACACCAAAGTAAACTGTTGTTGTCATTCACAATATAAACCCACATAATATTTTTCATATTTTTTCAGAACTTTGGATAAAAATCAATAACCAAAATAGGAAAACGTATTCATCTGGTTAAAAATTATTCAAAACAAATTATAGGAATGTAGTTAAAAATAGGTAAAACTTTGCATTGAAATTTTCAAACATGTTACCCGTGACATCCAGTTTTCACTTTCATGCAAGGGTGTATATTAAATATCCTTCATAATTCGGCAAACATCAGAAGACACCTCTATATGGAAGAGGAACTATAATATACACTCACCATAATAGTCTTACTATTCCCACCAAGGGCATTTTTCAGTAACATAGTAAGTTTAGAATCTCTGTATGGTACTGAAATACGAAGTTATACTAATTAATAAAGTCTTATAAGTTGCACTGTTAAAAAATAACATTAGAAAAGCTGCCTGTTTTTAATCACTAGGTATATTAAAGTGGGGGAATCATCACCTGCACATGCGTCAGATGGCCATAGCGTGTCATTGTTTACAAACAAGTGTCTACTCCTGAGCCTTTGCATTTTTAGCATCTGTTGTTATTGTTGCTTGCGAGTCAATTTCAGCGCGTGGGCAGGTGACGATCCTCTCGCTTAGGTGTAAAAAAATTGCCAAGCTCTCTGATATTCTGTTTTTACAATTGTCAGTTACAGTTTTTTAATAGCAAATAAATATAAAATTGGTCAGTCGTTCTCATGATGATTAAATGTGAAATATATTTTTTTTTAAATGTATCACAAAATAGATCCATCAGTAGATTTTAGATGTAATGACCACTGAGATATTCCCAGTCATAGCATCCACTATTTCAAACACCATAGTTAATACATAGGTTGAGAAACAGTAGACTCCATAATGAGCAAGGATAGAACACAATTCATAGAGGAAAAACAATTCTTGTGGCATTTACGCTCTCTTAGCTTTTTAATTAGTATTAAACTTACTATGTGCAGCTTTTTTACCAGATCCTAGATCTGCCAAGGCTTTAATTACATTACCAAGCGTTGACAGAGATTGGTTTATCATGCTGCCTTCTTTCAACCTATCACCAGTAGCACCTGTCTTCTCAACTCTCTCACTGAAAAAAAAATATTATAGTGTTATTTATATGTCAATCACACTTTACATATTGGTCTGCTATACCATGTCATTTTTTATATGCCTTATTCATTGCGGTACCACAGGTTTACATGTATCTCAAACAGTGACAACATGAAGGAAAGTTCATGACACTTACAAAAAGGATATAGTGTAATTTGACTGTGAACACGAAAAGTACACTTGATCAACAACTTTACATCCCCTATAGTTCATAAGAATACCATACCCAGTGTAAAAACGATGCCTGACAAGTGGTGGGTAGTATATATTATCATGTTTTTAATGATTAATAGATACCCAATTGTTAAAACACATATATTACTATTAAATATTGAATAGCAAATAAATAAACTATGTAGGTTTTAATATGATTTAAATAGAGCTGAAACAACAAACTTGAAGAAAGTGGTTTCATGATCAAAAGTAACTCACTTTACAAGTTGTCCACCAATAACAGGTATTAACATTGCACCCTCTATTAAGAAAAACGAACTGATATACATCATTTGTTTTTAACTGTTGAGGGCGCTATGCTTGGATATGCATGGCTCTTGTATGAATGATAATGCTGGTAGACAAGGTCTTACCTTCCTGCTAAATCCACTAAATTAATGATGGATGTCTTTGTCATCATTTGACCAGCTTGGTTCTTAGCTTTCTGAATGAGTGTCACAGAGACAATAGTATGGGCACGACTGCAATCACGAAAACATAGTTGTTAAAACTTTATTTAAGGCATGTTCAACCACTTTTACCAAATATATAATCTCAAACTCAGGTCTTCATGACCACAATGTCTATACCACCAGAGGCAAATTTCTGCCATGCAGTTCAGTAGTATTTTCTATTACTTGAGGTAATCAATTTACCAAATCATCAATATATTTATTTGACGATGTTCGTAGATCATCAAATGAGTAGATATAAGTTACGAACGTTTCGCCAATTTAAAACAAATATTTTTTATGAGAATTATTTGGATATGCTCTAATCATAAGTTACAAATTGCGACCGGTAAATATTATGGAACTCCTGTGGAAAATAGAACCTACCAAATATGACCAGATGCTGTTGAAGATGACTCATTTTCTGGTAGTTTGTCCAGCATATAACCATATTCAAAAACCACTTTTTGATTGAATTAACTGCATTGAACCACAATTTGAGCTCCTTTCGCCTATCAGTAAACTTATATATATTTTTTCTCAGGATAACCATGAAATCATTTAAATTCTTGCAAGATTTGTATACACAGCTTTTCAGATTAAGTATAATTTGTTAGTGTGAGTTCTCCAATAGATGAGTTATAATATTTTATTTTATTGAGGCGATTAAAGTCACGCTTGTAACTTTCTTTTTTATATGCATTGTAACCTGTTCCCCCAGGTTAGTGGGGTATATTTCTTTAGTGAAATGGAAATAAAATAATAAATAAATAAATAAATATATTATTCTAATAATCCAGATGAGATATGTCACACTTGTCACTTGTGTCCCTTTTTAAAATACATGTAGTAACATTGAACTTTTAGGCAACCTTCATCTTCATGGCTTTACTCACCTACTAGTAGCATTCATATTCGTTGATGCGATAGTTCGATTCCGCGTACCTTCATTTATTCGGCTTTCTATATCAGCAAATGTATTGACTGTTACAACTTTCAACATGTCAACTGTAATAACAAGACAATAATTGAATAAACTACAAATCAATGATCACTATGTAATTTAAATTCTCACTGCTGTCTTTCTTAATGTAGCCAAGCTTAATAACCAAAATAAGTTTCGATGAATATATGAAAGCAATGTTTATACCTTTTGGTATAAAATAAAAACTAAACTTATCAAAAAAGGTGCAAGGATCACAGTGACATTGTTACAATGTAGTCAACTAATTTGCATAATTTATATAGACAAACATATTATATGCAATACACCTGGTTATGAAAACTTTAAGAATTAATAAAAACCACGGACATGTAACAGATATGCCTTTTGATCTGTTATAGTTGTTTTCCTTATTTGGAAAATGTGTGTCATATTTACAAGACACACTACAACAATTACCTTTGTTTACCTCTGATCACAGTCCCTCTATCATAGAGATAGAGGGACTATGCTCTGATGTAGCAACAATGTAGCACATTACATGAAAAGAATTGTGACACTAAACACAATCGATCACATGCCATTGGGCACAAACCATTTTGGGTATTCTGTCACTGAATTATGACTGCAAGTCAGCAATCGTGTATAATAATAAGTTTACCACAATAATACCAGAAGGTATGGAAGTAGGTGGTACAGGATGGCGCTATACGATAGATATATTGCCTTTGTGCCTACTTTGCAGTATACTCTAATGAAACGTGTTCTAATTTCAACTTATCATCATAAGCTGGCCCGATTTTAGAAAATTCAAAATTTTGTCAACGACATCTGTATTGGTACTGAGAACAATACAGACTGCGAGTATGATATGATTTTATCAGCATAAATTCAAAAAATCTGATAAATACTAACTTGGCAATTATGTTTACCACCGGCAATATAACCTCAGAAAATGAAATTATGACTTACCATAGAAACCTTTAGAGTAATGTTCTCGGATTTTTAAACCCCCTTTAGGTGCATTTTTAGGATTCAATAAATCACGGACTTGCTCATTGTAAATTTCTATCATGCTAAATGTGACCTACAAAGAGAGACATTATGACAGATTCATTAATAAAATATTATAAAATACGTTTTCATTTCACAATCCTATAGTATACTACATATATTAATACTCTAGTCTTGTAGAATAACATTTTATTACACCTTCGAAAAAGATCGTTTCTATCAGTTGTTAGCAATAAATATATAAGTAACAAAGAATAAAAAGTAATACAAGTGACATCGTAAGAACGATTTTGCAATTTTATCTTTGGTTGTGAAGCAACTATTACAAAACATCCATTGCTTTTGATCATTTCCTCATCTCTATTTTTAAGTAGACATACAAGTTTTTGGAAGGAATTGGTGATTTGGTAATAAGGCTGTATTTATTATAATTATTATTATAATATAAAATAAAATACTATATTGAGTGTCTATTTTTAGAAGAATTAACAGTAACTCAGGGTGATGGTTTTCATTTAAATATTCATAGAAAATATGATGGCAGTAAGATTGACTAATTACAATTTCATTTGTCTTTAATTACCTGAAAATCTTCACCTTCAGCACATGCCTCTTGTCTAATCTTGATGCCTCTAAATAATTCCTCACATGTTAATGGAACAATACCTGTAACAATACATGTATACAATCATATGTATATTTTCCATTTACCTCAAATGTAAGAACAGGAAACACAAAAGTCAGATCGTCACATGCGATCTGACAAATGCAAAAGTATTTCTACGTTTAATAATGTGCCATACACATTTGATGATGGTCAATTTTGATGAAAAAAAGAGAAACCCAACACCATGTTCCTATCTGAAAAAAGACAAACCCAACACCATGTTCCTATCTGAAACAAGCAGCCTGTCGGCTGAGATAGCTCCGCTGTTAGCAATGCACATTTCAATTAAAGAACAGAAGACATCATT